GTTATGGATTATTTCCTCCCAGGATAGAACGAATTACACATTGGTGTAGCGGTACTTCAAACCTCAGTATTTCAGCGAACGCAAAGTTCGACAGCAAATCACACTTACAATTGCTTTGTTTGTAGTTTTAAAACAATGCAGAACAAGGGAAGAGAACTCAGAAGTCGAATGGAAATTCTGAGAGGAAGGAATGCAATGTATAGCCGATGTTGAATTCTTACTGAAGAGGATATCAGATTGCAATTCGTTTTTCCAGTGTATACACAGTGTATACAGAGTGTAGTTTGAGTGTATACAGAGTGTATATCAATTATATACAGAGTGTATATCAATTGTATACTGAGTGTTTCGAGTGTTTTTTTCCGGTGTGTTCTTCTTTCTCTACAATTCTGCTCTATTTATATCAGTCATGTGAGAGAAATCTGCCCCCTCCGTGATGGAACAAGCATTAGGATATCATGGAGGAAGCACTTACATGGTGGAATGACCACTTGCTTGGTGAGAGTCGCACTTGGCCATGGTGGGAGGTGCACTAGGCATCTTGTTGCTTTCTTGGTGCAACACAATACACGGATTGGAAAACATCCGTTACAAACACGGATTATATCACGTTAATATTCACTATTAACAAATAAATTTGGTCCAAATAATTAATCAATCGATCGATCATTTGATCAAATCCGAATCCAAATCCAAATCCAAATCCCATTTCCCATTCACTCTCATTTTAAGACTATTTCATCTTAAACCAAAACTCAACAATCCAAAACTCAACAAAGATTTGGGAAAACATTAAAGAAAAGCATACCTTACATGGCGATAGCCCGCTGAGAAGATGAATAGAAGTGAAATAAGTATGAAATTGATGAAGATTGTTGGAACAAGAGAAGGGCAACTTTGCATCTGATTTTTGGAAAGAGAAAAATGAGAGAAGGAAAAAATTACCATTTTAATAGAGTAATCTTTGAAAAGAATTGGAAGAAAATTAAAGCAAAAATTGAGAGAAAAGCTTACTGAAATTGAAAGACCATGAAGAGAAATCAAATGAAACAACCGAGGGTTTCTTGTTCTCATAAGAGATTCTTCTAGAATTGTGTGGGTGTATACTGAACAGATTACTATTTATTACTTTGGGGAAATAAATAAGAGATTTGCCCCCGATCAACCAATAGAAATAGAAATAGGAAAAATAAAATAAAATAGCAACGTAAAATGGCAATTTTGCCCTTGGTCGACCAACTTCTCCTTTCTATACAATAGAAATAGAAATAATTACTCCCCCTGTTCCAATTTATGTGAACCTATTTCCTTTTTGGTCCGTTCCAAAAAAAAATGAACCCTTTCTAATTTTGGTAACAATTTAGCTTAAAGTTACAACTTTACCCTTAATGAGAAGCTTTTATAACCACACAAATACTCTGGACCCCATTTGAACTTGTTTAGGACCACAAATTCCAAAAGTCTTCATTTTTTACTTAAACTCCGTGCCCAGTCAAACAGGTTCACATAAATTGGAACTGAGGGAGTAATTTTTATGCCTTGTTTTACGGTTCTCTCACTTTCTCTCTTCTAATTTTTGTTGCAAGTAACATCATTACATAAAGGTGATAGAGGGGTGGGTCGGGCCGGTCCGGGTGAAGTAAAAAGAGGAGAAATTCAAAAATAGCCAAATTTACAAATGGTCATTCAAAAATAGCCACAGTTTCAAAAGTAATCGAGTTTTAGTCACTTTTCATGTAAAGATAAATTTGAACGAAAATACTGTTCAAAATAATAAAAAAACTCCAGCATATTATACTGGAGTTCCAGTATAATATACCGGTCCAGCATAATATACTGGAGTTTGGAACACCGGTGCTCCAGTCTCCAGTATATTATACTGGAGCCAGCAAAGTATACCGGTCAAGCATATTATGCTGGAAGTTCATACACAGGTGCACCGAACTCCAGTATATTATGCTGGACCGGTTTCTGTTGCAGCAAAATAGTGGCTATTTTCCAATGACTTGGCAAACACTGACTATTTTTGAATGATCAGTCCAAAAACTGGCTAGACCGTGCTATTTTAACAGTAAAAAGTGACCGGACGATCACCAATTCAGGCCGGTTACCTATTTTTCCAAACCGGGTTTAACGGACCGTGGCCCATCCGGTGAAATATTGAACCATAATGGTTTCGGGCCTAAGGGGGCATGCCGGGTTTATTTAATTTTTTTTTTTTTTTTGCATTTTGTATAACTATCGTAATTTATATTAATATAAAGTAAAAATATAAAATAAAAAACAACCTTATAAAAAGAGTGATTGAATAAAGGATGCAAAGGCTTTAAAATCCTTATATTTGAATATTTCATTAAGAATTTAAGATAATATAACATAATGAAGATGGAAAAAATTGCACTTATAATTTGTAAGTTCTTTTTTTATTTCAAACTTGCAAATTAAAGTTTACATTTAACAACAACTAAATTAACGAAAAAAGAGTAAATTCAAAGTTTAATTATTAAATATAAATTCAGAACTTCAAAGGTTTTACATTGCCTTAGTAAGTTCTACATAATAAATATGAACTTCTTGGCCATCTTCTGGAATGTTAAATTCAAATGGGTTACCATGGTTAATATATCTCCAAGTTCCTCGTCTTCTGGTTTATCAACATCTTTATATCCCTGATTTCTTCGTTCCGATCTAATCCATCTCTGAAACATACTAAAACTTTCAAAGCATTGTTTCTCAATGAGTGACGGATGCCTCCTAGTTGTTGTCTTGCTTGACTAAATGCACTCTCTGATGCAACAGTTGAAATTGGCACATTCAACACGTCCCGAGCCATAGAGGAAAGTACAGGAAATTGCTTTTCATTCTCATGCCACCATCCCAACAGTGAAAATTCCTTTGTGCGAGGCTCTATTTGCTTTTGCAACTAGAATTGAAGTTCATCAATGTTCCTGCTACTGGTTTGAGTGGAAGTAAATGTAGACCAAATATTATAACCATCAAGGCCTTCATCTTCATCCATAGTAGTAGATGCAGTAGAAGTGGTACAATGCATAGTGAGATTAACATTGTCTATATTAATAGCAACATAATCAATTATATTTGCATAATAATTATATAAGTGTTGTAAATAATCATTTAGCTTGTTCATACAACAATATATATCTGGGATTTTAGTTGGTCCAATCTCCATATAAGTATATAAAGCATTAATTAATTGGTGACAATTAGACATCTTAATAGAAGGATTTAAAACAACACCAATTAAGTAAATCAGAGGAATTGGAAAGAAATATTTTTTGAATTTTGCTTATATTTTTTTAACAGCACGCTTATATATTTCTTTCTTCTTAAATTCAGAGAGTAGAAAAGAAATTTCAGTTATATGTACTAAAGCCATAGTAACAGTAGGGTAATATGCTCCAGAAAACTCAACAGTAGCTGTATAAAATTTATGTAAAAATTTAACAACATCATTAATGACCTCCCAAGTATTAGTTGTTAACATACGGTTTGGATCAGTACCATGCGCATTAGCAACTTCAGTTATCGGCAATCTATATTTGTAGCAACATTTTTAAAAAATAAGTATGTATAATTCCATCTAGTAATAATTTCATCTGACATGAACCTGGGGTTAAGGTTATGCTTGGTACACTTAGTCTTAAATTCCTTAATTTTAGATTGTATATTATTTCCTTGAATAATAACATCCGCTCTTCTAACATGAGTAATCTCAGTTGAAAATAAATCAAGTCCACTTTTAATAATTAAATTATAAACATGACATGCACCCCTACACGAAAAATTTCGTTAAGCAGTGGTTTCAAATGCAGTCTTAATATTGAAATAGGGGAATTATTGTTAGAAACACTATCAAAAGACATACATAATATTTTTTTATCGAGATTATAAAATTCAACAATTCACAAGTAGTAGTACTTATAAAAATAGCAGTATGACTTTGATCTTCGTCATATTTAAAAGCGATAATATATTTTTGCATACAATAATTATTATCTATCCAATAACATGTAATTGTCAAATAATTATTTCCATTAACAACATGGTCAATATCAGAAGTTAGAGAAACTCCACAAGGAAGGTGGTCAAACAAATAACGTATGTATGTCTGATATTATCCATGAAGTCTAAAGATATCAGACTTACAAGTACTTCTAGGGATATCTTTAAATAAAAGATTATAAATCTTTTGAATATACATAATAAGATATGATGAAGAAGCAAAAGAAAAAAGTAGACAACCCAAAGCAATAATATTTGCTAACTCCTCACGATCTTTCATTTTATCATATTTCATAAGTCCTCCAGTACTAAGGTTTAGAGTTCCTTAATTTTTATCTAAATCAGAGCTCATTCTATAGGATGAGTAATTCTTAGATGTTTACTAAGTGTCTCATTCCCCCTTAAACTTCCTCTAGCCTTATGTTTAAAATCATCTTTACAAATTTTGTATCTAACTCTATCAGAATTCTCTATTTCCTCAAAATATTTTCAAACTTTACTTCTCCTTCTCTAATCACTAGGCGGGGCCACATGTGGTCTACTACTAGCGCCAAGACCACCACCCTGCTACCAACTCCAACACTACTAGATATAAGTGATGTCTCATCTTTAATTTCTAATTCATTATCTTCTATACCGAAATCTTCCTGTAATTGTTCATAATCTATATTATTATTAAGTGATGTTTCAGAAACATGTGTAAAGTCATTTAAACTAGAAGTTGAAGTAGTACCTCTTTTTCGATTTTCCCCGATTACCCCGATTAACAACCTTATTACAAACTCTTTTTGCAGCATTAAACATATCGTGAAAATTTAACTACTAACAAAAATTAAATATGTAAATAAAATAGTAAATAAGAGAAAGAGTCGGAGGGAATGCACCGAATTCCTTGATAAATTGAACACTTGATGATTTTTGAAGTCTTGAATATTTAAAATTGAATTTCACAACTCCAATATTATCACGAAGAAACGTCAATTTTTTAAAGTTCAAACATCAAACTTCAAATAATAACATAAATTAAATTCTAAAAAAATGAGAGCCAAATAATTGATTGCAATTTAGGTGAAGAATGAGAGAATGACAATTGAGATTTTGAGTTTGAAAAATGAGAGATGAGTGAAGAAATGAAGAAGAGGGATGGTGTATTTATAGTTTCTCAAAGTGCTAAATTACTAATTACAAAAAGTGTTATTTTTTTTAAAAAATAAATGCCCAAAAAGGGCTATTCTTGCAAAATATCCGTTGGGCAACGGTCAAATTGGAAGCTGATCGTTGCCAACGGTCAAGTTAATTTTAAAAAAAAAACTGAAATAGCCGTTGGACCGGTCCGGTTAACCGGTTCAACAGTGAATTAACTTTACAGGTTTAGACCGGTCCAGTTAATCAAAATTTTGAAGCTAGCCAGCTCAACCCCTTACACCCCCCCC